TAATGCCGCCCACAACATTGAGAATTCCTCAGGGAGGAGCCAGTCTCATCCTTTTATCTCTCCCTCATGCCTCAGGAGATGAAAGAAAACGTTTTTCTCCCTGAGTCTGGCCTTCATAATTCCATTCCATCACAGGTGGCCAGCTGGTGGGGTATGGTCATTTACAAAGGCCATATCTGAGAGTCATCACACATCTCCTGCAACGCCTCCCATTGTGAAGTAGGACTACTAATGTTGGCTGCTTCGGTTATGGTGTGGCCTGCTTGTGGAAGAAATTCTGGGGCACCAAGTGAGAAAAATACCTATCTGATGACACTTTTTTTTTTGCTGTTTTTCCATCTCTCTTGATGCAGGTCCCAATTAATGGATTCTGACATGGATTATGAAAGGCCAAACGTAGAAACCATCAAGTGTGTTGTGGTTGGGGACAACGCAGTGGGCAAGACTAGGCTCATTTGCGCCCGTGCATGCAATGCCACACTGACTCAGTATCAGCTTCTTGCCACCCACGTGCCCACGGTCTGGGCCATTGATCAGTACCGTGTTTGCCAGGAGGTGAGTGGCATTTTCATTGATGGGTATGTCAAGTGGGAAGCGACAGTGTAAAAAAAACTTCCCACGGAACTTCTCTGTCTAAGAGGGCTGCAGGTAACCTGCACTCTGTGAGTTGCATTTAGTTTGCACAACTCCTTGAAACTGTACATAAACTTCAGTGTCATGGCAAACTGTTAAAAAAATGAAGGCACTATTTCTTATTTTTGTGTGTGTGGAAAACTATAAAAGAGTGATGTGTAAGCCCTTGGAAAGAACCAGCATATTTGAAAAAAGAGGACCTCCTCTACCACAATTCCAGAAATCTTGACCACCTTCTACTACTGGGGTGTCTTTATTCTACCTACTGCAGTTTTTGGATGCTCCTCATCAAAAAAAAAAAAAGTTTTATAAAATGTTTCCTTTCTCCTCCAACACCCCAAGCTTTAAAAGTGGTCTGCCCATGATCTAAGCTCCTCCCACATATCATCTAATAATAATAGTAATAATAATAATGTGGTACAAGGTATTTTCCAGTGTTGTTTTGATTTGGTTCTGGTTGAAATGCTTGCGTTTATTTTTCCTTAATCAAATATTTCTGGGTCTCAAGTACCTAATTAGCTTTGGTCTTCGATAAAAATTTCCAGGAGAAAAAAAAGAAATGGAAAGGTTTCTTAATTTATTTTCCTGAAAGCCATATTGTTGATTCACGGGCTGAAAAGATGAGGGGAGAATATTTATTTGTTAGATATATATCCTGCCTTTTGTAGAGATGCTCAATGTGGCATACATAGTGGTCCCTATTCTTTTCCCCACAGCCACAACCCTGTGAAGTAGGTTGTGCTGAGAGAGAGGGATTGGCCCAAAATCTCCCAAGGAGCTTCCATAGCTGAGGGGGACTAGAACTTGGGTTTCCCCAGTCCTAGTCCAACATCTTCAAAGTCATCCAGGTTGCTGAGGGAGGCTTGAACTTTAGTTTCTCCATTCTTAGTCATCACCTTCATCACTGCATCAGATTAGCTCTTAGGTTGAAAGAGAGCTTCTGTGGTTGGAAGGGGATTGGAACCTGGGTCTCCCCACTCCTAGTCCGGCACCTTCAGCACTACACTACACTGGCTGTCTAATTTTCCCTTTGGTCTGAAGATAATCTTGCTTTGATTTCTCCCAGGTACTGGAGCGCTCCCGAGATGTTGTAGATGATGTTAGTGTTTCCTTACGGCTTTGGGATACCTTTGGGGACCATCACAAAGACAGGCGTTTTGCTTATGGAAGGTACGTACTGAAAACAGGTGTAGAACTTCTGTAGACCCATAAGACGCCCTTCTTCATACCCCAGAGGTAAACTGTGAAATCCACAGTTGCAAGAACTAATGGTGGATAACACTACAACCAAGGATGCTGATGGCCTTGTGTGTTTCTCCCCCAGAACTATTTGATAGATGGAAACATATTGATCAGTTGAAAATTAATGAAAAGGAAATGAGTGAATGAGATGATTGAGAGCCAGAGAAATTGAACAACCTTCCTCCTCTCTATCTTACCCGTAGGTTAATGTACCTATGGTGTTCCATAGTGCTTGCTTAGTCATAGATGCCAGTCCCAGCATCTATGGGATGCTGTTTGAGCATCAGGTGGTATTTCACCAGTAGGCCAAGAAATGGAACCTTGGCAGAGATATGCAGATAGTGTAAAGGAGGTAGGACAACACAGATTGGAGTGGGCATGACTTCCATAATTACTAGTTGAGCTATTGATGGTCTGCTCTCTATGACATAAATGAGAAAGGGAAAATGATCTTTCTCTAGATTCTGGAGTCACTGGGGACAGAAGTCCTTGAGCCTCATTCTCCAGCTTTCCCCAAAGAGGGTATTGTCCAGATGCATAAAGCACTTTTCAGAATTTTAAGCAAAATCCATGCTGGCGGAGGAATTCTGGAAGTTGATGTCCACATGACTGGAAGGCATGGGTGAAGAAAATGATCTTATTCTGCTCACCGATCCTTCTGCTACACACATCTCTTGTGATTTCAAAGGGCATTTTGCTGGTTATTATACTGATGCTAATATCAGATCATCAAATAATCAAAGGCCAGCATACTGATGCTAATAGTATTGTTAAGGCTAGGAAAATAATGAGACAAACTATGGAAAGGCAATCTGGGTTTGTTCCAGTACTTTGGTCGAATATGCACTCTTGCTATGTACATTGTGCAGGGGTCATAGGCCATCATTCAGGGCAGATGTTTGCACACCTAATTCCTTGATCACTGATTCTTGCTTCCTTTCTTTCTACAGATCTGACGTCGTAGTATTATGTTTCTCCATTGCTAATCCAAATTCCCTCCACCATGTGAAGACCATGTGGTATCCTGAGATTAAGCATTTCTGTCCCAGAGCACCTGTCATCTTGGTAGGCTGCCAGCTTGATCTTCGCTATGCTGACCTGGAAGCAGTAAATCGAGCCAGGCGACCTTTAGCCAGGTGAGAAACTTGCTTTAGTTTCCTTCATTGGGCTGGAGAAACTTAATTGTGATGGCTGATTTGCGTCATGAGTGCCCCGTGTCCCCCAGATGGGAGTTTGTTGCTATTTTAGATTAACTATGAGGGCACGGTACTGGCTGTGCTATCCTATCTCTTACACTAAAGCAGAGGTGAAGCTACTCAGTGTTGAACTAAGCCATATATGATTTGCTGGGTTTGGGCTTAGCATATTGTGTGACCCTTGCCATTTGTGAACTGTGGAGTCCTTGGTGCTCAGTGAGCTTGGTTATTTGCTTGCAGACGTTTCATTACCCGACTAGGTAACATCATCAGTGTTAGTGCTGATCACTGTAGCACTGACGATGTTACCTAGTTGGGTAATGGAATGTGTGCAAGCAAATAACCAAGCTCACGGAGCACCAAGGACTCCACAGTTCAACCCTGAGCTACAGATGTTCTCTTCCATTTGTGAATCATTCATACTTTGGACATGGCTTCAGGCCACTTTCAGAAAAAGTTGGCTGTTACTACTCAACCAGAGCAAGAGGACTAGGAATATGATATGGTTGGAAGAGAAAGTAGGAAGAGCTGAAGGGTCAGTTTTTCAAGGATAGATAGTTCTGAATACCTAAGTCTTTCTTTAGGGAATCTCATTCCTAATGTTGATGAAATACATCATCATATGCAAATTCATACCTCCCATTATGATGTTAAATGCACAGAAAAATGTACAGAATTATTGAAACACGCTCCATTTCAATCTTCTTTTTATTTCAATCCCCTTTTTCTTTAGAATCATAGGTGTTACTCATTAAAAAAAATGTTTGGTGATCCATGGTTTTGAAAAGCTTAAGAAGCTTGGTTGCATACGCCTTCGATCTAATAAATATTTAGCCTTGTGATGTTTGGGCATCCATATGTTCAGTGAATATTGGTCCCTACCCTGTCTGTCCTGCAGATAGGTATGGAGAGAAGGCCACAGGGAAAAAAAGAACACTACACCCACAAACAGTGACTGTCTAGTGGTAGGCTGAAGCATAGCCTTAGCCTGGTCACCTCAATACTTTTCTTTGATGAATTGCTATTTTTCCATTTAGATAACCACCCTTTTCTTCTGTAATACTGGCCTTTAGTTGCACGACCAAGGTCAAACCTGCTGTTGTTTTCCTTTTCCTTCAGGCCAATCAAACCAAATGAAATTCTGCCTCCAGAGAAGGGACGAGAGGTAGCCAAAGAGCTGGGCATCCCTTACTATGAGACCAGTGTAGTAGCCCAATTTGGCATCAAGGATGTCTTTGACAATGCCATCCGAGCTGCCCTCATCTCCCGCCGGCATCTCCAGTTCTGGAAATCCCATCTCCGTAATGTTCAAAGACCATTGCTACAGGCACCTTTTTTGCCCCCCAAGCCACCCCCACCCATTATCACTGTTCCTGATCCTCCTTCCAACAATGAAGAGCGGCCAGCCCACCTGCTGGAGGACCCTTTGTGTGCAGATGTTATCCTGGTGCTGCAAGAGAGAATCAAAATCTACGCGCACAAGATCTACCTCTCCACCGCCTCCTCCAAGTTCTATGACTTGTTCCTGATGGACCTGAATGAGGAGGACCAACAGGAGATGGCGGGAAGCAGCACCAGGATAGGTGCTGCTGAGCGAACACTCCCTCAGGAACGGCATCATCATGGGCGGGAATTCCTCCTGAGGGCTGCTAGCTTTGACATCTGTGAGAGTACTGAAGAAGCTGGCTCTAGCCAGCAAAAACCGTGCCTTAGAGCCTCCACCAGCGATGGGATACTGCGGGGCAAGAACTATGGGGAACGAGGGCTAAAGCGGGGGAGGATCCTCTCCTCTTGGAGCCGTGCCTTTGTCAGCATCCAGGAGGAGATGGCAGATGACCCCGTGACGTACAAGCCCCGGCTGATGGTGGTAGTGAGGATGGATCCCTCCATCCAGTTGGGACCATTCAGGGCCGTGCTTAAATATCTTTATACCGGGGAGCTGGATGAGAACGAGAGAGACCTCATGCATATCGCCCACATTGCTGAACTGCTAGAAGTCTTTGACCTCAGGATGATGGTGGCTAACATCCTCAATAATGAGGCATTCATGAACCAGGAGATCACCAAAGCCTTCCACGTCAGGAGAACCAATCGGGTGAAAGAATGTCTGGCCAAGGGAACTTTCTCTGGTATGTTCTAAAGCTAGATTTGCAGTGCTCTAAAACCAGGAGTTTAAATGAACTGAGACATAGTTTTGAGCTCCCAGAAAGACAGCCTACTAAGTATCAGTGCCAGGGGAAACCTGCCTTACTCTGGGCATGAATGTTGTATCGGAAGTGAAAATGTATCCTGCATTTAAAAATCTTCTTCTGCTAGGGAAACAGCTACTTTAAAGTCTTCTGCTTTGCTATTCTGGTTTTATATGTGCATGGAAGAACTGATTCCAGTGTGAGGTGGGCAGGCCCCAGATTCAAGTGGGACAGTTTGGATAAGGTTTACCACCTCATTTGGTACATATGGATCCCCTGGCCCTTATACCTCCTCAGAAGGAATACAGAACCCTGCTGTAAAACCAGATGGCCAGCTGTTCGACCACAGGCATCTGCAGAAGCTGGTTGAACCGCAGTATTGAAGTGGATGCATCCAGCTCTGTTGCCAAATACAATCTTGTTAGTTGTCCCTGTTCCTGTTATTGGTGGCAACAATCATAAAACAGAATGGCAATAGCCTTTGGGTTATGCCTTTAGAGTAAGAACATAAGACTAACATAAAAACGTTAGCAGTGCCCTGCTAGATCAACCTCCTGGCCCACCTAGTCCAGCAATCTGTTCTCACAGTGGCCACCCAACTGCACAAGGAAGCTTGCTCATCCCCCAGTAGATGGCCTTCAAAGGCAATCACACCACCATCAAGGCTTATAGCCATTGATCCCATTGACTTCCATGAACTGGCCCAACCCCTTGTGAAGCCAGCCAAGATGGTAACCAGCACCACATCTCGCAATAAATGTAAACGTCAGTGTACTTCAGTACCACTCAATGGAGCCATTGGTGAAGTCATATTAGACTTCATTACAACTTTATGTCTCACTCAATTTCAATTTATGAGATGCTTCCTGGTTAGTTTGCTTTTCCTAAACCATACGTTCTGACATCATGTTTGTACCACAATGCTATACATGGATTTTCCCAAGCCTGCCACCTTGAGGGCTGCAATCTTGGAGCCATAGATATTTTGAGTGGCATCTTCCATAATCCCAACCAATATGGCAAATAGTTGGTGATTATGGGAACTGAGTGCCAGGTTCCCTCCCCTGGTGAAAATTAATGAACTGAGTGCACCAACACTCTGGCTGGGCTGCATGACATCCTAAACCATAGAGCTGAGAGGGTGAGGCACAAATTTGGAACATAGTTTAAACTGGGGTATAATATCTTCACCACAGTTTGTATTAATGGCTTGTTGGTTTACTCAGGTAAATCATGGTGCCAGGAAATTATGACCTGCAGAAATTTCAGCTAGCCATATTTGAATGTTTGGCTTGGTATCTGTGGATAAAAATCTTACCATTATTAAGTCAGGCTTGGTAAACTTTTTAAAGATGCATAATCTATTCAGCACAGTTTCCAGTGTGACAGTTAGAGATGTGCCATTATTATTTAACAGATGTGCTTAGCATTTTCTCCTTCTTCACAGATGTCACTTTTATACTGGATGATGGTGCTATCAGTGCCCACAAGCCCTTGCTGATCTCCAGTTGTGACTGGATGGCTGCTATGTTTGGGGGTCCTTTTGTTGAGAGCTCAACTCAGGAGGTAAGGCAACGGAGTGAGAAATCCTGCAGTCTTAGCTGTAACCCTTAATGTTGGACTCAAATTTTCAGTGTAGGCTAAGTTGTTTGAGTCTTAATGCTGCATCTAGGACAGTGTTTCTCAACCGTGGCAACTTTAAGACATGTGGACTTCAACTCCCAGAATTCCCCAG